TATTTCGTAAACTAGCCGTGCAGAGTGGTTCGTGAATGAGCTTCGTTATTGAATGAAGCTTACACCTACAGGACTCGTTTGTAGAAGGAAAAACATTGGACTTATCCATCTGGACATGTTTTTTTTGTCTCTTTAGGTTTCGCTCCTTTCGGTCTTTGTTGGGAAGGGGAGCGATAGATCATGTGAAGTTGAGAGAGTAGTGAAGTAGTTCTCTCCTAACTGTTGCTACAACCCCTGACTGCCTACGAAACTTTTTCGTCATTATGAAGAAGCGCTCCAATCACTCGTGCGCGCTCCAGTCAGAACATGTGGTCGCCGCTGAAACTTTTTGGTGCATTTCTTCATAGTTGGCTAGGGCTAATCTCTGTGCGTTTTGGTCAAATTTTTCAGAGTAGTGTCTTAAACACGTTCATGATTGCTTAGTGGTGTCGAGGCCGCAGTCCACTCTTCGCGATTTTTGCGAAACTTGCGATGGATCACAGTCGGGGTGGAAGTGCCGATGAATACTGCGAGGTGTCGTTTAATCTGCTGCGAATTCTGCTTGGCAGTAAAGATTGGAAGGCGAATGTTTGTGGTTCTACTTGTTTCATGTTCAATGTCTATTAGTTCGTTGAAATGCTCTTGAATCTTCCTATTTTTTTTTAGGAATCAAACTAAACCAATCACAAAAATTGCAAGTGCCCCTTTGAACAATTGAAAACATGGATATGAAACAAGTGGATCATGAGCAGTCTTCATTAAACCATAACCATCAAGCAGAAGTGACGGTGGGATTGGAGAACACCTGCAGTATGATGGGACCCTGTGATTCTCGTAACCGTCGCGCAAAATCGCGAAAATCGCGCAAAGATCCGGACTCTACATTAGCCTTACGCGATTTGTTCTCTACGGCTTCTCAGAGCGTTTCTTACAGGTTTTTCATCCCATTCATAAAACAGACAGGCAATCAATTTCGGAAATGCTGAATGGTTTACGGCGCAGCCCGAATTGCGTGCAATACAGTGGGACGCCCGGTGCCGTGGTGTCACAACAGTCAAGGGAATTCGTGGCAGGCGAAGTAGCCACTTCCGGGGTAGGAGGGTTGCGAACTACTTGACTTTTTTCTATGGCTGTGCCACGAATGGCGGAGATCACAGACGATTAGAGAACAACGGCTTACTCGGCTTCAAATACCAAGGAGCGGAGGCGGACACTTAAACTGGTGTATGTAATTAGGACAGAAAGCGACCTTTTCGCGCTTCGCAATGCGACATCGCGCGGCGGGGCTAGCGCTCCCGCACGAAAACAGCTACGGTGTGGAGAGCGCGCCGATTAGCATCTTTTTTCGCATGCGTGAATTTGTAAATTTCTGACTTATTGCTTGCCAACGTCACACTCATTGTGTTGAGACATGCGATGAATCACAATTCTCTCTCATCAATTGAAATGTTTTGTGAATTACACGATTCCGAGCGATGCCGTTGAAATGGTATTCTGGAATTCTAGAACATTATAATATTGGTGAACGAGGTAATTCACACTCATCGCGCCTAGGTAATACTCTATATATCATAGCAAACCCTGAAGAACTATTCTTTGCCGTGAGTCACATCGAACGTCCATCAACCACTCCTCTTCCAGGTCTACCATCCATCCTCTGCAAAATTAAACTACCTCCTTCACTGCTATTTAGTGGGGCCTCCTCTGTGGTCATTTCTCGTTCACATCAAGGACAGTTGTACAAGCTTCAAATTTCTTGTCGCAACCTAGAACAGATCAATAAAGCGTCCATTGGCCGATGTTCAGAGTCTGCGATTGGACGCGATCGTCAAATGCCATCGCGCGCACCATCGCGCGATTCGCGCGATGGCACATTCTCCATGATGACAATCGCTCCAATCGCGCGATGGCGCGATCACTCGTTGTGGCCGGCGCGCCCCTCTCGATCGATACTTGACTGAGCTATCGATCGGTATCGGGGCGCGCCCACACAACGGGGGTGATCGCGCGCCCATCGCGCGATTTTGGAGCGATTGGTCATGATGTGAGAAATGTGTCAATCGCGCGACCATCGCGCGAATCGCGCGATGGTCGCGGCGATTGGCATTTGACCGATCGCTCCAATCGCAGACTCTGACATCGGCCATTCACGACGTACCTCGTACCGTAGTTGTTTTTCGCTGTGGGAGCGCTGGCTGCCGCGCGATGTCGCGTTGCGCGCGAAATGTCGCTTTCTGCCCTAAGGCGCTTTCATAGTGTGCGGTCCGTGCGGTCCGTGCGGACGGCTCGCGACGGTGACAACGTCAACACGCGCTCTGGCGCATAACGCGTACTTGGCGCGCAGTCGGCGCCTCCCTCGAATCGATACCTTGGTTAATGTCATTTCCTGCTATCTTTCGAAGTTTGTGAAGATGTGTTGCGTTCATTCATGTTTTTTTTTTGGTTTGTAGACTTCTTCTTTGCCTTAGCTGATATGTTTCAGTTGCTCCGATCGAGTCGGCGTGGATTGGCTACGTGAGAACGTGGCAGTAAGACCCAAGGTGAGTTCGTCATTGCAGTTCATGTGTTTATACGAAGTGCGGACTAAAAATACACAATACAAAATAGTTGTGTGTAATTCTGTTCCATTAGTATATCTCAAATCTACGAGTCTTCTAGTCTCAGGAAACTACCACCTTCGTGCAGTGTCTTCAAAACTCCTTCACTTATAGGGTAGAGAATTAAGAATCCACAGAAATGCGCCCTTCTTCATTAGAAAGGATGTAATTTTTCTTCAAATAAGAAGGGGTGAGATGTGGTAAGAGAATTTTGAATCTCCAAACTTTTTTTCCAAAAAGTACTTTCAATGTTTCATTTCTTAAAAATCTTCCCGTTGGACCGCTTTTTTGTGCACAACCGTGTTTTTGGCTTTCAATCACTATAACTTCCTTCATAAAGGACCTTTTGCAATTATTGCTCTCCTGGGATAAACTAGAAGGTTAGTGCTTTTATCGAATACTTGAGCTCTTTACAAAACTGATGGTCAAAAATAGCCCCGTTGGACCGTTTTGAAGAAATGCGGACCGATTTTTTTGGCAGAGCCCTGTTTTTTGGGTTTTATTTGTTATAACTTAAAGCCTTTAGAAGTCAATCTACCCAAGTGGTCACTCTTTTTCTAAAATAGGTTCATTTTGTAGGCATTAGTTCTCTTTAGAGCATGTTTGTGTACGTGAACAGTCATGTATGGACGCTACTGCGGTGGATTCTTCTGCTCTGAGGTGCGCCATGCACTCGTTTGTGGTTGTCAGTAAGAGAAGCGCTCGAAAGTTATGCCTCTCATCTACGTATTGCGACATTGGCCCTTGCAAATACGACAAGCCCCCTTTTTTCGGTCGGCCGAATACGACCCTCTCGTTGGACTTTGTCCAACGGACGGTTGACCATGGCGCCTGGCTCGGCCCCATATTCCAAGGAAGGAGGTGAGAGCCGTGACCACGCCATGGAGGAGGAGGAACTACCATGTGGGTGATCCAATTACAGTCTGGCAAAAGTTTAAATGTGTGAGATCACAGCGCTCATGAGACTCTGATAAGGCAAGACAGCGCCGACAAAAGCATCGGGTTGAGGCGGATTGAACGAGTTTGAGTAGTCCGTCGACTGATTTCCGCATTGATGAGGGCTACGTGACCCAAAAACAGTGTGACTTGAAGTGTTATGTTGGCGCGTATATACTTCTCTTTACTCATTTCCTTACTTGAGTGGTTAGGGTAGTAGGAATCCTTTGAGATCTATAAGCTTCGTAGACTGACAATGAGTTTGGTGACGTTACCCGGAGCTTGAGACAGTAACTCTTTGCTAGTCCCTTTAAAGATGGCGTTGCAATTTCTTCGAAACATTGCACAAGCATAGCGCTTCTTTTGCCGCTGCGCTGCCAACATGGAAGGTATGCATGGGGACGCAGATACGAAACAAAGATCCTACCGTTACTTTGCACAATTGTTTCTAAAAATTTTTTTCCTCATGTGGACTCCAGTTCTGCAGTGCATAGGCACGATGCTACGACATTTTGTGACACATGCTTGGTGGGGTCGTCGTTGTACTATCTGTGGTTCAGGTTAGTGTGACTTGAAGTGTCCATGATTCCTTAGCCCCTTCTTCACCTGCGTAATTACAGTAAGCTCTGTAGAGCAGTAGGATAACGGAGATGTATACTTGATATTCGAGAGTTGGGTAGGCATGTCACCAGAAATGACGTGGCCATCGCCGCACTTGATAGAGGCTATGTGTATAAGCTGCTTCCAACATACACTCACTGGATATCAGCAAAGCATGCTGGGAACAGCTTTTTCTCACAACTTCTATCTAATGCACGTCTCCTCCGGTGACACACCTATCCCACCTCTCGGATATTGACTGTATATTTCTCCCAATCCATTTGTGCTGACAATACGCCCATTGCGTTACCTAGAATCAACACTCGAACAGAATAGGTCTACCGGCAGATACATCTACAACACTCTGGATTGTCAAACGAATTCAATGAAACACTCAAATTAGTTAGTCTATTTGAGTCTTGTTATGGCAGGCATTCCTTGTGTCGTGTTCGGCTAGAGTTAGGGTTTACGTGTGCAGTTAGCGAGTTACGGTACCCATCATAAATGCTGAACAAGGCTTCTTGTACGAGCACGAGATACAGCGGAGAAGTATTAGGGGGTTTCATCATTCGAGACACGAGAAAAGCGACTTTTTCTCAATAAGTGACATAAAATCTTCCGGCTTCTTCAACCTGGGATTTCACGCTAATGTTTGATTATATCGCATTTGACACATTTTCACTCCAACACTTGGAATTTACTGAACTAAGAGATTTTGAATAATTTGAGGTGGCTTTTCTATTATTGACCGCAGTTTTAAGTGATATCTATCGCTTATTTACAAATGAGATTGCCGCCTGCATTGAATTTACATGTATTTTTAGAGCGAGTTTGTTGCTGCTGTCTTTCGGTCGGCTTCGCGGTTATTTCGGGAAGGGAAACTCTAATATGATGGGTCTATTTGGTAAGAAGAAGGATCCTAAGGAACAAGTTCGAGAAATGCAACGAAAAATGAGAGCAGAAATGCGTTCACTCGACAGACAAGTGTATGCCATTCAACGCGAAGAGCAGAAGGTAAATGAGGTTCACATAATAAAATGAGAGAATTGTCAAACCCAGGCAAGAAGGTACCTTAATGAATCGTGTACGAAAAGTCGTGGTTCGGTCTCACCCATGAACCACTGGTCTGAGACCCATCATTCACGATAAAGCGAAAAGAACAAAAAAAAAGCGTGTTTTGGGGAACTATTTGAAAAGTCCGGAAGGACTGTTACGCGTTCGAGTTCCCGCCACGTACATCATTCATGATAAGAACGAGGAGTTACAATCATATGCCTACTGTCACAAATGTTGACGACGGGAACGATTTCACTTGGATTTCGGAGTGTATTAACTGGGAACTCTATAGCCTATTCCACCCATGACAATAAAATTTTTCTTTTTCACTGGATTCTACTCTTTCAATCGTTTTGTCCCATTTCTTCAAAGTTGAACGCGCCAGCCCAACTCTGAAGCGTCGCCTGGTACGTGGCCGCCTCAATGCGCATTTCTTTCCATGCTTTCCCTCCGCCCGCCCTCCCCCTGCGTGATATTTCGCACCTTGTCCTAGTGATCACGAGTGCCGTATTAATGTTGGGAAAGAATACAAGAGTCTACCGTGAACGATTCCTTCAGTTACAGAGCATCGGGCTTACGATTAGATGCATAGAATTATATGCTTTGATTGATTTTATCGTTATTCCTTAATAATCATTCAGTTTTGTCAGCATTCTTGTTGTTTCCATATAATAGTAGCATGTTATAAACTAAGTGAGTTCCAGTCTCCCATCATAATTTGATTCAGTTTTGATCTACTGCCGCTTAGATTATTATTAATGATTGAGTTCGCTTCAGGTTACTAAAGAGATCAAAGAAGCTGCAAAGAAAGGCGACAGGGAAGTATGCGTCGTCTTGGCCAAGTCACTGTTGCAGTCGCGCAAGGTAATTCATGGTTGTTCTCTAGTATAATACATTCGTACGAAAGCAGTGTCCTTTGGTAGAACTGCAATGAGTTTGAAGAAATATTCGCTCCATGCTATGTAATACTTCGTAAGTTTGAAAGGTCTCATCTAGTAAGAGCGGTGCGACATTTCATATCGCATAAAGAAATCCACTTTTTTTTGCAGGAAAGGGAAGCTCCGGGGTGGGTGTAAAAGCTCAAGGCAACAATTCCAGCGAGATCCATACTTTTGCTACTGATGGGGTAAGAAGATGTGCTAGCCCTAGTCAAGAACATAGGAAGTGTCCTGAACAAAAAACTCACCCGGAGAAACCGCTATAAAAGACTTGGACATGTGCCAGCTTATTTGATCCGCCTTTTCCTTTGTCAGCTCACTTGCTAGCCATAGAGATCGCGAATGCTGAATGCTGCCGGTTTATTGATTGGTTTTAGTTTGCTTGATTGTCGTGTCTCCTTATTTGTATTAGTCCATATGCTCTGCTTGTATCAGTGCATATCCAACTGCGGCTGCTTGTCTTGCTGGCACGAGCCAGCAATTTATGCTGGCGGAGCAAGCTAGTTCGGACAGCTCGTCCGGCCCAACCCGCTCATTATTTCAAAGGGAAGAGAAGGAGTCCCTGTTTGAGAGCTTCATCGGCGGCATTCCTTGTTTTCATTTGTAGTCAACTCTGTATCCTCAATTTCGTTATCGACCGCTTTTACCCCACCAAATCGATCTGGGGGTGTTGCTTCAAGCGATTCACACACTACGCAAATTCCCTCTCCTTGCAAAAATTGGAAGACCGACGTCACACTCGGCGACGGACAAGCGATGGAGCGACGAGTGTTGCGTCGGTCGAATTTTTGTAGCCGGCAAGAACTGTCGTACTACATCCCCACTTAATGGATGGGACCCAGGTTAAATTTGAAGGTAGTTTTTTTGTGGCTCAGAAAAGCTATTATTTTTATGGATCTATATATTTTTCTTTGTTCCAGTACATTCTTTAAAGGCTGTCGCCAAAATACACATGAGTAAAGCTCAGATCAACTCAGTTATCATGTGTATGCAAGAACAGCTTGCAACGATGAGAATGGCAGGTTCGCTCCAGAAATCTACACAAGTCTTGCAAAGCATGCAAAATCTCGTGAAGGTGGGTCACATTCTTTGGCAATAAGGCAGCTTTTTGAAAATGACTTGCTCTCCCAAGAGCATGAATTTTTCCTACACAATTTGGCTACTTCGTTAGCCTTTTAGTTTCACTGGGTGCAACTACCGCCCCCTTTGCCTCCTTTCTTTTTATGTTGTCGGCTTTCAGTGGCAAGCCATGAGGCTGTTATATGAGTTATATTAGTTAGAATTAACTAACTTTTCGTTTTTAAAGCCCCAACATGGGTAGGTAGTCTTTCATAGCTCGCGAGTTGTGCGATACGGTGATTCCGCTGGAAGAGAAGCGTCATCCGAAAATTAGGAGGTCATTTTCGAGGTATAATTTAGTGAATCCTACAGGCGATCATCGGTGCGATGCGTCGGCGATGAATCAGTCAATACTTGGGAATTCCTTTCAGCATATCTAATCACCAGGTCGCCGAGTCTCCAAAACGCACAAGTGCTGATCTATACACTGGCCTTAACGTGTCTCTAGCGTGTGTCAGAAACGCACAGAAAATTCGTATACCATTGGATCAGCATAAGTAACTTCTCTGGCTCTGAAGTCAACTAGCTGTGTTGTATCAGTGGCTGGAGATTCTATGTAGTTACTATAGAACGCTCCGTCTATCGTCCCCACGAAATGCCCTGCTTGCTGTAGATCCGTTCGGAGAGACCGGACCAAGGTGGGATTGGTGTGCATGCCTCGAGAAGATTAAAACATACATTAACTACGCAGATGACGTCATATTCCAAAGACGGCGGGGACAGTGAAGGGGGGCCTGCTTCTGTTTACGGGGAACACCTTAGGAATATTCCACCGTCAAACTTCCATTAACACCAGCACCCTGTGCGAAGAAAAAATCGATTATGTGCGCCATGGGCAAAGTGTCTTTTTTGGCCACCCCTGTATAGAAGGCATTCAAGCAGTTTGCGAAGAAGCCGCGCAAGCGCGGGAAAAGGTTATGACATGGGGGGAGGCGCAACCGCGTCTCGCTGTCGTCAACGTTTTAAAGGCCGCTGTTATGAAAAATTGAAGAAGGGTTCAATGTGAAGTGGTGGTGTTTAATAATGCACCAGTGGCGAAAAAAGCAGAAAGAAATGGGACTCCTGTTTTGGCCGTTGGTTTTCACTCATCAACAGGTAACAGCTCGGGAAATGGAGTTATGAAGTTCACCGCAAGCGTTTGAAAGGCACCATTGCCAAATCATGCTTGAATCGAGATGCTCTATTTGCGCCACTACTGGCCACGCAGCTCGTCCAAGTCACCAACTAACTTAGTGGGCGGATCGCTTGTGGAGGGAGCGGAGTGTTTTCGAAGTCCTGCTCAGCAAACAGCGCACCTTCGTTGTAAAAACACCACTCTTCGCCTCCTTGGCAGCCAAGTAACTGCTTCGTGTGGTGCATATGCTTCCCCTATGCGCTATCTCTTTATCGTAATCGCTTCTTTTAAGAAGTCTAAACGGTCTCTTCTTGGCTGATGCTCATACATTGTTGAAAAGCAACAAGCAAAGAGGGTCCCGTTTTGCGTGTTGTCGACGGTTTTTCCGTTTTTCCCCCCACTGGCGCTTCATTTAGAGCACCCTTTGAAGGAACGATCACGCTGGATTCCACATGTAGCTGCGTACTACGCCTTACCAACCGACAAGATCTGAAATAAATAATGGTTCGACGAGCGTAACCTCATGGAAGATACAGTCGTCCAGTCTCGAGGTCTGATTAGGCGTGTCACCAAAAATGACGTGGCGGCCGCCGCACTCAATAAGGATAAGGTGCTTGTGGCCTGCCGTTCTGATTCCCAGCGAAGTGTGCTGGAAGCGGTTTGTTCGCGCGACTTCTATCCCACGTTGAGTCCGTAGACCCACCTCATCAGGCGGTCAGATACTGTGCGGTACCGTAAGATACGAAGATATGGCTGCTCGGAATTGGTGCATCCAGAATGAAAATTGGACGGCAACGATAACGCTATCATATCTAATACCGCCATTGCGACTTCTTCGTCTGATACGAAGGGGTAGCTGCACACTGGAAGTGGGTTTTGGCGTGTTATCCACCGTTAATAAGGCGCCACTGCCTCTGAAATTTCATTCATCTTCTTGGGTAGGACCTCTGCCAAATCCATACCTTACTTTACTTGTCGTCCTAGGCTTTATCGTGAGCACTTCCTTCAGACCCGTCCAGAACCCTTCGTTATCACTGCCTTCAGTGCCTAGTGATGATGCCTTTAGACTCTATACGCTTTGTGGCTTCGCATACACTATTCTGATCATTTTTTTTTCAAATTAGGTACCCGAGATCATGAAGACAATGCGAGAAATGGCACAGGAAATGATGAAACTAGGTATTATCGATGAGATGATTGAAGAGACCATGGAAACAATGGAGCCAGCAGACCTCGAAGAGCAAGCTCAAGTAAGTCATAACAATTTTTTGCATGGGGCACAGCGAATGCTGGAAATGATTGTCAGGAGTGAGCAGGCAGAAGTTCAGAGCTCTCCAGTAGGGCAGAGAGAGCATTATGTCACAGCATCCGAGGCGACTCAGAAGGATGAGGATTCCGGTAAAAGGCTACAGGGGTGGCCAAAAAAGAAGAGACACTTGGCTCATGACTCATCTCAGCAAGCTTTTTACTCGCACAGGCTGTCGTGGTCCATGGAAGTCTTTTGGCTAAATATTCCTGATGTGTCCTTAAACGCGTAGATGCAAGCCCCTGTTCACTGCCCTCATCGTTTTCAAAATATGTTATCCAGTTGCCGTCGAGGTCTTCGGCAACTGCTCCTGCCTGAAGCTCATACATAATTTCTTGAATCGATTCACTTTTGGATAGTTCCCTGGAGACATTAGGCTCGAACTACGCAAACCACCTCGAAGCCCGCTTTTCAAATAAGGTCGTAGTGGTCCATAATCCGTCAATAACCACGTTGGGCTCGACCCCTGCACAATGTTTCCATGGAAAATTGTTGTTACGATTTTTTTTCCTGATAGAGAATGTGCTTTTCGATTTTCAGTTAGGAGCATACGGTTTTAATGTGACGTTATGCGGTTAGAGCCGTTCTGAACATAGAGTTAAGTGATTTTTTTTGGTCACCCCTGCATGGTAGAGGAAGAAGTACGGGATTTGAGGACCACTTATCGCGAAGCGCAAAAACTCCACCCGCAAACGATTTTAGTCCTTCCTCTTTGCTCTCGTAGGGTTTATTAGCTTTGCTGACCAATTGCGATCACCGCTACGCGCATGAACCAGAAGGCCCTCCTTCTACCCATAAGCGCCTGAATCACGTTCTAGTCAAAAGAGACTCGATGGGAATGGGCCACTGCGAAGGCGCCTAGCATGTGGTCACCGCGCTATGCAGCGTTCCCTTACATATAACTCGTGCTCCGGACCGCTCGACCGCGCGCATAAAACTGGAGTTGGCTGTTCGTATTGACGCTAAGACGTCAACGTACCTTTCTTTGAATACTTGCAAGGGAAGGATCTCGTATAGCTGTGTTTTCGGAAGCTGAATTCGAATGCGCATTCTGCATTTTTTGAACTATTCTCTAAAAATAGTTATAAAGCGCAAAAGGGCAACGGCTGAGGCTTTTTCTCCCGGACGAGATATCCAGGGGCAGATTCCTTGACAAGTTTGCTGATTTGCTTTTTTAGCAGTTTGACCAAACATCTATCCATACAAGATGGTACAGTTTCTATCAAGTCTTCCGTTTTCACACGAGTATACAATGGCTCAAATTAGTATCGAATGTTTTCATACAGTCTGTTCCAAATCAATCATGACACTGCACCGAGTGGTTTTGAAATTTATAGGAGGAGGTAGATCGAATATTGTGGGAAGTGACAGCTGGTGAACTTGGCAAGGCTCCTGCTGCAGTGACCAGTGACCTAGGTGGTGAGAAGCTGGTTACAGAAGATTTTGAGTCGATGGCACAACGGCTGGCGGAACTCCGAGATTAGAGTCTTAATTGGAATTCTATTTGTAAATTTGCTTACTCTTTCATCAGAACTGTATATAACATTCACTGACAGTGTTTCTTTTTCTGCATGCTGTACCTCCGAATATTATGTATTAATTGAATCGATTAGATATAATCGCTGCTCTTGATATTACATATACTTGGGAATCGTGATACTGTCTTCCTAACGCTGTTTTAGCCCAGTCTTACTTAAAAGTCCCAAAAGTTCCCTTGGAGTTTCATTTCCACATTCAGCGTACTCAGTGCACATTGTTTTCCATTAAGGTCCATTTATGTTTTTGAATGAAGGTGCTCTCATATGCTGTTTTTGTCGCAAGCGATCTCGCTATGATATCGTGCACTCAAGGAAAAGGCTTATTATGTAGAATAGTAGTATTCAGCATGTCCAAGTTTTACGCAGTTGCACACGGATTTCAGCGTGGTATATATGAGAACTGGGACGATGCTAAGAAACAGGTAAGCTGTGCTAGGCTAGTTCCATCCTTGCACCATTCAACAACAGTTATAACAATCCTCGCATTCATGTTATACAAAAGACACAGTCTATGAATTCGCTTTGGTGTGAAATCTTAAAGATAAATAAATAAATAGAGAGTGTCACTTGGAGGAACATTTGATACATTAAAAGGAAGGGGTCACAGAAATCCTATGGAGACGATGGGGTAGTGACAGTGGATAGGGGAGGGGTCCTACCCAATGGGACGACAGGTGATGGTTCAGGGGCAGTGGCGCCTTATTAACGGCATGATAGAGCGCCGAAACCCACATGCAGTTTGGCGTTACACCTCCTTATCAGACGTCAAAGGGGATGCAGTAGCAGCAAGCTAGATATGATACTGATATCGCTATCGTTCGATTTTCATGCTAGTGTGCACCTAATTACAAGCAGCCGTTCTTCTTATCTAATCGTATCGTATCTTCCATAGGTTTGAGCTCGTCCTAACACTATTTATCTCCGACCTTATCGGTTGATAACGCGGACTTCGGCGATCCACGTGGAAGCCATCGTGATCACTCCCTTTAAAAGAAGCGGTCACGCTGGCTTCCACGCTGGATTTGTTACCCTCGCGTTATCTATCGGTAAGGTGTGAGGCAGTAATTGTTGGACGAGTGTAAGCCCGTGGAAGATTTGATACGATGAGATAAGAAGGTGCGGCTGCTTGATAAGAGGTGCACTCCAGAATGAAAACGGGACGATAACGATAACGGTATCATATCTAGCACGCCTTATCGCACCCCTTTCACATCGATAAGTCTTGGTTTTTGCTGAACCGAAGTGGAATTCGGCGCCTTATCACTCCGTTGATAAGGCGCCACTGCCACTGAAACTTCACGTGTTGTAACAGTGAGCAGGACCTCTACCCACTTCAATACATAGCTTCCCTTATCGTTCCCATGAAAATTATCGTGACCGCTTCCTTTAACCATTGTTGAAAGTCGAAGGAGTAACGTTGGAGAGCATGCTGCTCAGGTCCATTTCCTCGCGCATGCTTCTGAAATTCAACGTACCTCTAATATCGCGCATTGTAGATCGTAGACTTATAGGCAGGGTCAACCGTCACGGTGGACCTAGTTCGAAAATTTTACGACCCCCCCTCCTTTGGCAAGTCTCAATACGACCCTCCCCCAAACACTTATTGTGTACTGTACCTTTGGAAATTGTGTGTGTTTGCGTACTACTTCGCACTACTGTTTCGAGTGTTACACCAGATTCAGCGCAGTAGCGTCGCGTTTGCATTGGCGCGCACAATTTTCTACTCGGCTCGGCGCGCATAAACCAAGGCAGACATCTAATTTTCAAAGAGTGTAACTGTTCAGCGTTAATATTTTTGAAACGGCAAGTAGATTTGTAATCTTAGAGACTGCTAGTTTCAGAAAATCACCACGTTTATGCAGTACCTCCAGAACTCTTTTCGTTATGGGGTAGAAACTTAAGAACAGAGGCGCACTTCTTCATTTGAACGGTTGTCATTCGCTTCAGATAGGAAAGGGTGAGAAGTGGTAAGAAAATTTCGAAATTCCAAATTATTTTCTTTCTAAAAAGTACTCGAATTTTTGTAAATTTTCATTCTTCCAAAAACTGCTCCGCTGGACGTTTTTGGTGCACAACCAGGTTTTTTGGCTTTCCATGACAAAAACTTTCTTCAGAAAGAAGCTTTTACAATTATTGTCCCCCTGGGATAAACTAGAAGATAAGAGCTTTCTAACGAATACTTGAACTCTTTTCAAAACTGATGGAGTCAAAAAATGGCCCATTGGACCGTTTGGCGTAAATCGCGGACCGATTTTCGGCAGAGCGCTGTTTTTTGCCTTTGAGCTGTCATAACCTTTTCAGATTCTACTTTTTGCAGTTCTTGAAGAAACTGGAAGGTCAGAGCTTTCTAATGAGTGCTTGAACTAGTTCCCACAATGACCCTTTCAAAAATCGTCCCGTTGGACCGTTTCTTTTCATGAATTTTCGGAGCTACTCTCCTGACTACATAAGTTTTCAACACTCGAACACTCACAGCTCTCTTCAAACTCGATTTTATGGGGAGTAATGATTACATGAAATTGCACAACCTTTGTGCTTCATAACAAACCAGTTTTGCTTCGCCCGCTATCGCGCGCACCACACGGCAGGCTTTAGCGAAATTGGAGGACCCATGGAATATCAGCATGAGATACTCCATTAACCATCTCACTATTGACTGTGTTAGACCCTCCACAATTTCACTGAAGCTCATCGAGAATACGCGTGATAACGTTTGAGCTGAACTGGCATATTTATCTCACAACTGTAAACATCCAGCATTTTTCTTAAATTAAGATAGTTTAGCGGTGAATAGTATTGCTGTCAGTCTCAAAATCAAAACGAGCCTATTTACATAAGTGAGGAGCTAATGCTTATCATTCATTCACATCCATCATTATTTAGAACCACGAAAGGATTAGCGGTTTAATGAGTTTGGGTTTTCTTAATAGTCAGATATGAAGCTTATCACTTGCTGAAGACTTGTTAAAGTTTATGCAGTCGAATTCTATTAAGAAGCTGGATATAT